GCGTCAACGCGGACAACGACGCAGATATAATATAAATGAAAACCAACGCGTTGTCTATGTAGAGGCTCCGGCGTAAGTCCGACGCAGAAGTATAAATCAGCCTAGAGTGAGGTGAAGTGGTCGAGCACAGGTGCAGCGACAAGCGGGTGCGTTCCTGTGAAACTGTTGCGGTCATGCTCGCCTCACGCACGCGCCCGCGCGTTGCCGAAGTTGAATTGTCTAACTTTTTTGTACACGACGCGCAGCACAAATCATTGGAAGAGAGACTGATCCTCGGCTCGCTGTTTGTGAGTTTCCAGAATCTAAATAGTTATCAGGACATCAACAGGAGGGAATTCACATGGCAGAGCATCCCCGCTAAACTAAACGCAGGCCTATCAGGTAAAGTTATGTATAATTTTAATTTAAGTTAAAAAGGCGCAGCTGCGTAGCGCACAGAAGCCGGTGCCATGGTTACTATCCATAGAGCGCCTGTCATTCACTCGCGGAGCGCTGTCTCCCTTTCTGTTCACCTGAGAGAACCTGCCAAAGCCTCTCCACTGCTTGTTTGGGTGGGTTATTTGCTGGCTGACCAACATCCCACCCCTCCTGTGATCATGGTTTGACTGTAGGCCTATTTGTATTCAGAGGCAGTGAGCAACGGACTTTCAAAAAAAAAAAAAAAAAAAACTCTGCGTTAACGCGCGATAAAAAATTTGTCGGCATTAATTAATAAATGCGTTAACGCGATAATAACGCGTTAACTTGCCCAGCACTAATATATATATATATCAGTGCTATCAAACGATTAAAATATTTAATCGCATTAATGTCATAGTTAACTCGCAATTAATCGCACATTTTTATCTATTCTAAATGTCTCTTGATTTCTTTTTGTCCCATTATTTTTTCTCATTTTAATGCTCTTATCAACATGGAAAAGTGGATCGGCTTGCTTTGTGCAAATGTTTTTTATTGAAAACATCATTGGCATATACTGTGTTCAATTTCACACTAACATTCTCACTTGGAGCAAATAATCTCTCACACAATGTAACACTGTCCATCAATAAAAGGGTGAAAGAAATACTGACGAGGTCCTGATATTGACCAGGGGGCGGAGAATTCACATCAGCTGTGTGTGTGTGTGTGTGTGTGTGTGTGTGTGCTTGGCCATCATCAAGTGGTATTTCAGACTGGACGTGCTGCGATGATGATAGCTCAGTTCACAACGACAAAACACACAGATCACTTTGGTCTCGTCAATGGGACCATTTGGCAACTTTTTAAAAGTAAACTTTCCATTCAGAATCTTATTGGCGTCCATTTCGGCGTCTCGCACTCGCCATCCACTCAAAACGTAACGTTAACCAACTATTTGGCCGGCTCGCAAGCCCAAACAAGTGTGTGTGGCGTCGTGCCTGTTGTTGTTTCCGGTCTAGCTAGATCCGCTTGCGCTTTGGTCGACGATGCAACAAAACGTCCTCGCGCGGCGCAAGCCATTGAAATGAATGGGTTTCATAGCGCAGTCCTGTTGCAAAAGCATGTGAGAAAAACTACAAAGTTTGCTAGGCCAAAAAGACCGTTAATCTCGCGATAAAAAAAATTGACACCGTTAAAATGGGTTTGCGTTAACAACGCGTTTAACTGACAGGCCTAATATATATATATATATATAGGCTCTTATGTATATTACATAAATATATTACACTGTATATAAGTATTAAAAAAATACACAAATAATGAAATGATAAATTAAAAGCTTGACTAAAAAGAAGTTTCTTCAAACAATCCACAGAAGCAGCATCCCTAATAGATGCAGGCGGTGTGATCATAACTTAGGCGCGTTATAGGAAAAGAGTAAGCAGTAGAGAAGAGTAAGAGAAAACATTTACAGCTTGTGGCCACGAGTGTGTGTGCGTGCAAGTGTGTGCACAACTCAAGAGTGTGTGTGCATATGTGCAGTGTCTGCGCGTTATTGTAACTTCAGTACACTTGATAGTTTCATGCGCTTTTCACCTTCACTAGTGTGTGTTCTAAACGGCCCTGTCGTCTGCTGTGTTCAGACTAAAGTTGTGTTTAGTGTTTGCTACATTCAGGAAGTGTACTTTCGTGGAGCAGATCAAATAAAAAGGGAGTTCATATATCGACTGCTTTCATTCACTGATGAAACTTTAGGCGTGTGCAGTAATATTGAAAAGTGAGGATGCAACGCCTCGAGATATCGAATCGTGAGGCCAGTGACGATTCACACTCCTAATTTCCATTGCCCAAATCCAGACCATAAACTGATCCACGACCTGTGGAGACGATTGAGACACACATATGCTGTCGACAGAGTGCAAGCTGTCGTAATGCATGTGTGTGTGTGACATACACGTGTGTGTGTGTGTGTGTGAACATATCAATCTGAGTACTTTGAAAGGACATGTACAACTATGCGTGTATGGTACGCTAGTGTTCGCGGTAAAAACGAAATATACTTTGAAATGTATACAAATGTAAATCTCTAGCTCATGTGGAAGATTAAAATTCATTCTTCCAACCTTTTAGAAACCAGTGTGGATTGCTTTGGAATATCGGGAGAAGACATAAAAACGTGAGACGAGAGATTTTAGTGTGCAAATATAAATAAACTTGGCTTACTTCTAAAATCTCATGTAATTTATTTTGCTTTCATTATTCAAGGATGTTGTAATGTTTACATTTTAATGCACTTTCAAAGTTTGGTTTACATTAAAGGCATAATTTGCACAATTTGAATTATTTGTGCAAATAATAATTATATAAAAAACATTGCACCAGTAACAGCCCTAAGAATAAGTCAAATTAGTTAAACTTACCTTTAACAAACTCTTGACCACTGGGTTTTCCTGCAAGGTCCTGGAAAAACTGTAAACTAGAAACAGAAAAAAAAAAAGCATAAATGAAGTGAACTTCAGTTATTAATAACACATGATGAGCAACTAAGATGACCCCATTAACACCGGATTAAACTAAATTACATCATAACAGATCAACATTAAGTAGAGGTTACTATTGACCATCGAACTATATGCTTTAAAGCTTTTTTTATGTCACAGCTACAGTCTGTTATAAACATGACTATCATCTACAAGTTGATTGATCGAGTTCTGTATCATCTATATCTGTCCCACACAGGTGAAACTACTGTAAAAGACACAGGTGTATCATGTACATATGAAGCAGGCAGTGCTCAAACCCTGGTAAGCTACCTAAAAAGACAGCATTGCACATGAAGCCTCTCTAGATTTTGACAATGCTGAATACAAAGGCAGCTTACTGGGTTTTGGACCAGATGCTAAACACACGGATCCAGCATGATCAGAAATACTGCATACACCACTATGAAGACCACAGTGCAGTCTAAGTAGGTGTCAACAATTATGTTTATATATATAATGTTTTTAGACTGTGCCTTTCATAAATGTAGGGCATATCACTAGGTTTCGAGACAACCAATATCTACCATGATTGAACTCTTTAGCACAGCTAACTTATCTAACTTAACCTTTTCATCAGGGTTACGCAACCTCATAACACCCCATAATATCAACTTCAGGCTTGCTTAGGGTGTATATATCCATGTTCGCCTGCACGAAACATGTAACACACGTTACATACTGCAACACACACTGATAAGACACATGCTAATGCTAACCCAGCTAACTATATTAGCTCACTGGCGTTACAGTCATGAAAATAACTAATAAAGTGTCTTACATATACATTTAAAAAAACTACAGACTATATATTCTTTATTTGGTTAACAGTATATTAAGGTTTATAGGCCATTTTATTGAACTTTAAGTAATTAGTTTTTAACGCGCACTAGCAGTGGACATTGACAATGAAGAGAAAATGATTTATGCTTTCGACAATAACCCGCGGTAATAACGCCCAAAAAAACGTATATAACTTCATTCCCATACACACTTTCCATCCGATTACTAAACTCCTACTCACAACTCATTTTTGCCCGATTTGTCCCAGTTTTTTATCCAGTCAGACGGGAGGATAAGCGCCGCCATCTTCCTCCAAACACACTCACACTCACACACACTCACAGCCGGATGTTTAGCACACACACACTCGCGCGCGCGCGCGTCAATGCATCTCGGGATGTCGGAGTGTTTATTTTCAATTTATTTTCATTTCATTTGCAAGTCATTTAATATCTACATTTTCATTTCATTTTAAGCCAGCAATAGAAATGTTATGAATAAACATGTTGAGAAATGATGAGATAAAAAATGTTTTAGAGATATCCCTGAGCATAGCTTCTGCTTTCTTCTTTCATCTGAACGGCTTTGTTGCTTTTTATAATTGTGTCTTTTGATTGTACAGACAGTTGTATATGCAAGCTTTAACTGTATGTCAATTATTCATAATAACACATTAGAAACATGTTGGTGTGTCTTCATGGGCATCCAGGAGGAAATAGCTAAAATACTGCATTTTTACACACTTTGCTAACAACAGAAAGTACAAATTAATAATTAACTTACAGAGAGATTAAAAAAGAAATGTTTGCGAAAAATAAATACACCATAAGAGGTCTGTATTCTTCCAATTTAACAAAACTACGAGTGATAATCGAGAGATCATAGGCCTAAATAATAATTGTATCTGGGGCTGGAATAACAGGTGTAGATTAATAGGGACAGTGGGAAACACTCCCCCTCATTCTTTTATTTGCTTCAGCATGAATATATTTTATTTATAAGTTGTATATTTCTGGACTACAGGTTCTGAGTCAGCATGCCGGTATCCATTCGTTGACTTTGACTTTAAAATCTTACTTCTACTATACTAAACCACCTTTAGCGGGTTCTACGAACATACGAACAATCAGCTTTTTTATTTCTTTTTCTTTTCTTTCTTTCTTTTTTTTTATGAAATAGTCACCGGAAGCTTGAGGCTTTTATTTTGAAAATTCTGCCGCATTTTCGAGCTTTAGTTTTGTCGCTTCAGACTTTTATTTTGGAAACGCTTCCTCTTCCGCTGAGCTCAGCCAATAGGAAGCGGACAGGAGTTGCTTCCCGCAGAACGGTCGTGGCCGCAGTGGCAGCTTCAGAAATGTTTTATAAACTTTTGATAGTTGTTTTCCTCGCTGTTAGTTTGCACGGCACGCCATCAGATGGGCAGAAAAAGAAGGAGGTCAGTGGATTATAATGGCTTGTTATTAAGTGTTTTTTAACCCCCCATAATCATATGCACTGAGCTGACATGTTTCTCAAAGGCTCTGACAGATTCTCTCTGCATCAAAAGCACATTAAATGGCACATTGATGTTTACTTTCGTGAGAACACTGTGATTCATCGGTAAATCACCTCGAATGAATTATTGCTCTCGGTTTAATTCAATGTATTATGAGCTGACACACTTGGCCTGTATGCAAACTAAGCTAAGCTTCCTGGTGTTACTGCAGCCTATGACCTGACTGAATTAAGACAATGAACCTGTGCTGAGTGTCCTCCTGTGAACGAATGAGTGGCTGATATATATGTATATATATATATATATATATATGTATATAATATATGTATGTATGTATTAGGGTTGGGTACCGAAACTCGGTGCCAATAGGGAACCGGTTCCGACGTAAACGGTAGTAACCAGACCGAATAAGAAAGAAAATTTCGGTGCCTGATTTCGGTGCCTAACTTCATTAGGCACACACGCGCACACACACACACACAAGGTCTCTCGCTCTCTCTCTCTCCGCCGTGCGTGTGCTACACAGTTTGGAGCACAGTTTCTTCTGTCTCGCATGCGCGCTCTTTCTCGCAAGGTTTGGCTGCATTTCACGTGTAAAATTACGTGTCAGAACGCCCTCTGGGTGTGCCGATAGTCTGAATCCCATATAGAATCAAGCCAATTCATTGGCTGATGGCGCCACATCGACGCACTTACGTCGTCATACTATGCTGTCGCGCGCGCGCCATCTGCTCCTCAGATTTCTCTGCCGAAAAAGGAAGCTGGTCGGCAGCGCGAGGAGCTTGGCTGCGTCCCGTTCCCTATTGAGAGATATGTTACACCAACCAGAGATGTTCTCTTTCATAGGTTCACTCAACGCTGCGTAGCTAAGAAGCAGTGGATTTGTATTTGTAGGCTGCTGTATCACGTGCCGTTTGAACTGACGCGCTACAGCGATCTGTCACATTTCAAAGAGCCAAAACGTTATTTATTGTGTGAATCTCGTAAAAATATTGACAGAATCTGACAGCTGTGGATTTGTTCCATATCAAAAGTAACCTTCTCTGTCTTGTCTGTCAGTGTCCTCTTTGTCCGCGATTTTTCTGTGTGAAAAGGGTCATTTGCGTGAGTCTCACGGTCAATGCGTGAGAGTTGGCAGCTCTGCCTGCTAGTAATCTCTATTAATCTCAAGTATTATTACATTGTTTGATACAATATTGTTTCATTTGATATTATGTAAATATGAATTTTTATTTTATATTGGTTTTATTATTACCATATGTTACTTGTATTTATATTGTTTAAAGATTTAAGTTAATATTGTGTCCAGTTTGGCCCTGTAAATTAAAGGGTATTATTTTTTGATAAAGTGTGTGCGGTTTCATTTTCTTAAGTACCGATTTAAGAACCGTTTAAGCACCGGAACCGTTTAAAAAATACCGAGTAGGTACTGGAATCGGATAAAACCCAAACGATACCCAACCCTAGTATGTATGTATGAAGACCTCCGATGCAAAAGCCTCTAAAAGCCACCTCTGTCAAAAATGAGATACCGGTAATAATATTGAGTGAATGCTCATATCCGCATAGAAAATATGAAAAAAATAATATTTATATAAATATTATAAACTAAGTACAGGTAAAACTCGAAAAATTAGAATATCGTGCAAAAGTTCATTTATTTCAGTAATTCAACTTAAAAGGTGAAACTAATATATTATATAGACTCATTAGGTACTGACTTCAACGAGGGGGGTAATAATTAGGCACAACACCTGTACTTGGGTAGAAACCTATACATAAGAGCCTGATAAAAATGTTAATATTAAACAAAAACTTTATATGGACTTAGAGGCTTTTGCATCTGAAGTCTTCATATATATATATATATATACATGTGTGTGACAAACACAAAGAACACGAGTTACTCGGTGAGGACTGAACCTGTGCTGAGTGTACTATGAGTTAATTGTGTGTGTGTGTGTGTGTGTGTGTGTGTGTGTGTGTGTGTGTGTGTGTGTGTGTGTGTGTGTGTGTGTGTGTGTGTGTGTGTGTGTGTGTCCGCCCCTGCAGACCCTGCTGTCGGAGAAGGTCAGTCAGATGATGGAGTGGACCAGTAAGCGCGCTGTGATCCGACTGAACGGAGAGAAGTTCAGGAGGCTGATCCGAGCTCCTCCACGCAACTACTCCGTCGTCATCATGTTCACGGCACTGCAGACTCAGAGACAGTGTGCCGTCTGCAAGTAAGTGTGTGTGTGTGTGTGTACTAAATATTAGACAAAGAACGTAAACCTACAGGATTAGTTGACTTCATAATTGAAATTCCCTGATAATTACCTCACCCTCACGTCATCCAAGATATTCAAGTCGAAAAGAAATGAAGGTTTTTGAGGAAACAGGCCCGGAAGACAATACAATGCTGAATAAAGTTGTTGATTTTTTTGATTTTTGGACCAAAATGTATTTTCGATGCTTCAAAAAAAATTCTAAATGGAGGGCTACATTTTCAATGGAGGGACAGAAAGCTCTCGGACTAAATCTAAAATATCTTAAACTGTGTTCGGAAGATGAACGGAGGTCTTACGGGCTTGGGACGACATGAGGGTAAGGCATTAATGACCTCATTTTCATTTTTGGGTGAACTAACCCTTTAAAGGCAAGTCAAGTGGATGTGCACATGATGGCCATTTTAAGTCCACAAGAATGCTAGTGCACATGTAGTCATTTGAGACAGTGTGATGTGTCCAACCAATGGCGGACGAGTCGAGCGTTCGAAAACCAAAGTTAGTCTTTATTTTTGCGTTTACATTTGTGGTTGCTGCACAAAACGCACTAAAGTAATTGCATTAAACAAACTTGATATTTCTCTATAGGAAAAGTCATGTGTTTGTGTTTTCAGACAGGCGGACGAGGAGTACCAGATCCTGGCGAACTCTTGGCGTTATTCCAGTGCATTTACTAACCGGATTTTCTTTGCGATGGTGGATTTTGATGAAGGATCAGATGTTTTCCAGATGGTAATTTATTTGTACCTTTGTACTCCACCTCATACCTTACTCTTTTAAAGTGAACAGGAAGTGGCATTTTCAATATGTGATATATTTCCAAGTGAAAAAAGAGTCTCTGGCGGGACTTTATATATTGGAAATTGATTGGATGTGCATATACACAGCTGAATAGAGTCAGACCTAAGTGTGATGACTATCGCTATAATACGCCTGTTGGTTAACATTAAAATTAGTCGCAAGGACGAGGTGATGATGATGATGTGTAGAGAAGATATTACATCAATAAGACCAGTAATGTGTAATATGAAAACAAATGGGGTGAATTATGATTCATGACATGTTGACATTAAGTACTTGAATCAGTTATTGTGTGTTTTTAGTAATGGTTGGTTTGGTATGTTTGAGTTGCTGAATAGCCTAGGCTACTATTACACATCAATAAGACCAGTAATGTAATGTGTCTAAAATCTGAGAAAACGAGAATGTTAATCGCACCACAATTAAATATAATATTCAGAATTAAGCAGTGTTGCTGATTTACAGATTCAGTTAACATCCACAAATGAATATTATAGAGACAATGAAAGGCAGTTAGCGTCTTTTATGTTTAGTTGGTGAATAGTGTAGGCTACTATTACACAGTAGCGATAATGTTCGAATGCCTTTCATTGATTGTCTCTATAATTGTAATCTGCACAATGACACAAAGTTGACACTAATGTTAATCTAAACTAGAGCCTGACCGATATAGATTTTTGGGGGCCGATACCGATAAAAAAAAAAAGCCAGACACCGATATATCGGCCGATATTATATATTATAATACAGTAGCAATATTATGTATGTGTATTATAGTACAGTATCAGTCCTATTGGTGTGTACAAACTTTTGATGGGTACTAGAATACACAGTATACAAACAGAATAAATATATAAATGTTTTGCAATGATCACTCAAATGTGGTGGTGATCAAACACATGTGTGAGTGTGACACAGATATGTAATGGAGACAGGGTGAATGATATAATGAGATTGATACATTTGAGCTGTAACCAAGTTTGCATTGCATGTTATATTATATTATATTCTAAATACTGTTGCATAATCTTCACTAACGACTTTGTCTTTTAATTTAGTCGCATTATATAAAACATAACTTGTATCAATAAATATATCAAAAGTGTCACTGACAAAACCTTATCTTCTATTTTTAGTCTTAATTCCTCTAATCTCTACCAGTGGAGGAAGAACTCAGATCTTTTTACTAAAAATAAATTAATAATATCATAATGAAAACGTTTTAATTACATATGTAGGCCTACATACTTTTATACTATTTTTAAATAAGTAGTAAGCAAAATGTACTAAACGTGAAACATAGTGTTATAATCAGGGTTCTAAATTAACACCCGCCAACCCGCCAAATGCGGGTTAAAATTCATTTTGGCGGGTGTTAATAAAAACTTACTAGCCAGTTTGGCCGGTGATGCATAAGGCTCTGTTCTCGGTCATTTATCCCCCTGGCAGTACTTCCTACATTTCCCATAAACACTGTGCCGTAATGCTACGTGATGACGTTTCATACGCCCATTGGCTGCGCGCAGTTTGCAGTGAAACCAGCGCGAGAAATGACCATGGAAACAAACGGAGCGTACGCGTCCGTCCACCAGAAAACACAAGGAAGATGAAGAACGAGCCAGAGCAGGGAGCAGACTGAAAGAGGAGGAAGCTAGTAAAGTAGCTAAAGTAAAAAGTTAAGATTAAACTAAATGCGGCGGTGGTTGGGACAGACTTCTAGGTTTAAATTTAAATGTCGTTTAACGAGAGATAGCCTACGTTATTTTTTTTAAGTTTAAGGTTTTTGTCATTATTTCTTACAAGCTTATACATTAGGCAATAGCCTATACACAACAAGCTTTCTATATATCTTAAGGTTTTCTTTTAGTTGAAAACATTAAACAATATGTGTAAACAAAATATATAAACAACAAAAGCATTTAAGCTAAGGCAGCGCGAACGGGGAAAAAACGGGGAAAAAAAGAAGCAGACTGCGCAGTTATCGTTCAGAACGTAGTCAGCATACTCGAGTCAGGATATGATTATCGTGTTTATATTGTTTCACGTTCATGTTGAGAAAAACAATAATATCCACATGCTCGAGTGAGAAAACGCGCTGCGCTGACACACAGGCGTTGCAGAGACGCGCGCGCGCGTGTGTGTGTGTGCAAAGTGAAGTAACAGCACTTTGCGTTTTCTGTTCTTAAACCTGTCTCCCTCAACGAAAGCATATGTCAAAATCATTTTGCTACCAGAAGATATCGGGGTACAGCTGCTGACCTGCAGTCGTTAATGCAGTGATGGACAGCTGCTTCCTCAGTCGACTGCTGTTTCTTTGGATTTCATGTGATTTCTCATTGTGGTGGTGATATTATGATAATAATAATAATTAATAATTGATTAAACGTAATTCCATTTTGTAATAGGCTATCATTTTCATCTAAGTAATTCCAAACTTCGCGAGGCAGACAACGACATTATGTGATCAAAAACACAATCCACTTGTTAAATGCTCCACCCAGTGCATTTAATTATAACTGCGAAAAAAAATTGAAGAAAAAAAGTATTAGTATTTTATTTTTTTAATAATAATTACAGAGCGAAAATTCAAATATTCGTGCACATCCCTAATAGAGATAGATCCCAAACTTGAAATGAAATGTTTGCACTTTCTGTCTTGTATTGTACTTTATATGTGTTTTTCATGTTAATAAAATTATCAAATGCATTCAGTGGCACTCATAATTTCTCTTATTTTCACCGGAAAAAATTTGGCTAGTGGAAATTCTAAATGGAAATTCACATTGGCTGGTGATCAAAAAAGTTAATTTAGAACCCTGGTTATAATTATATAAATTATTGCTTGTGTAACGTAGCGGCATAATGAGCTTTAACACTGTGTCTAACTAAACCGGACGTTGTTGCTCGCGTCGCACCAGCTGTTTACCCGAGACGCGGAAAAGTGCCCGTTAAACTTTGCAGCGACACTGACTGAAAAGACTCGTTATTAATAAACAAAATATATTTGGTGTATTCACAATCATTACTTTTGTCAGTGCTTTGTGACAGATTTTATGTGCTTTATTGGCATCGCCACCCTTACATGAATCACCGCACCCGCATTTTTTATATATATTTATTTATCGGCCATTATAAATGCCGATACCGATAGTTAGGAAAATGCCTAATATCGGCCGATAATATGGCCCCCCCCCGATATATCGGTCGGGCTCTAATCTAAACTCCTGCTATGTACACAGATACCCAAATACATGTCACCTAATATCACCATTATACATTGTTTTGCAACCATGTAGTTCAATTTTCCATATTTATTGTATGTCATTATGTCAGTATTTGCTTTCTACCATGCACAAATAAAAATGTCACTGAACTCTTGCTGTGTAATTGTAACAATGAGCACTCAAACACACCAAACCAACAATTACTAAAAAGTAAAACGCACACAAAAACTGATTTTGAACGGATAATATGCGAAAAACAGACACACAGACAGACGTTCCTGTACTTTATATAGATGGATGAACACTCTTATAATAGTAAAGTCACTCTGTTTATGTCCTCTTCAGCTCAACATGAACTCGGCTCCGACGTTCATCAACTTCCCGGCTAAAGGCAAGCCCAAGCGCGCGGACACGTACGAGCTGCAGGTGCGAGGCTTCGCCGCGGAGCAACTGGCCCGATGGGTGGCGGACCGCACTGACGTCCACGTGAGACACACACACACACACACACACACACACACACACACGGCTTCAGAAGAGTCCCGTCAGTGTTTGACAGGCTGTTGTGTCCTCCAGATCCGGGTGATCAGGCCCCCGAGCTACGCCGGGCCGCTGATGCTGGGTTTGCTGCTGGCCTTCATCGGCAGTCTGGCTTACCTGCGCAGAAACAACCTGGAGTTCCTGTTCAACAAGAACGTCTGGGCTTTCTCCGCACTGGTGGGACCTTGACCTTTATGTTTCAAAACAGGGACATTCTGAGCCGAGACCGAAAATTCAGGATGCACTTGGCCAAAAAATGGAAATAATTAATTAATCTAAATTATTTGATAACCAAAACTGGAATAGCTAAAACCAGGGACAAAGCTATTTTAGACCGGTCTATATAGTGTTAGACAAGTCTAAAATTTGCTCATAGACTAGTCTAATGCAAGTTAGACTGTTTCACAAAAATAAAGACGGACTTAATTTAGACCAAAACAATTAGACACCATACCTTACCCCCAGGCTAACTTAGGTCTAAAGGTGATGATACACAGGGCAACTTTTTGAGCAATGTTGCTGGGCAATCTTGCCGAGCGATTGTTGCTTGGGCACTTTCCCATTGAAAATGGGCAACACATTTCTATCTGGATAATTTAGATCGGTCGTGGGCCCTGTGTCTCATCTGGTTGCCTGTTGACGGCAACATTGCTCAAACAGTTGCCCTGTGTATCATCACCTTTAGAGACTGTTACCTTGGCAACCAGCAGTAACAATCAGTTACATTACAAACAGACGAAAGAAAAGGGAAAATGGCCCTTTCCAAATTAAACATTTCTTCTTGTTACTACATTCTCGGCTAAATTTCCCAAGTAAAATGTCCCTGTAACTGTTATACTCCTCCAACACACACATATTTTCCGCTGGGGTAAACTGCACCGAGCGGTTGAATGCGCTTACTCGATCCGCCATGTTTTTTTTGTCTAAAAAATGTCTTATATTACCCAGAATGCATTGCAGTGTAGTCAGAGTCTTAAGTGCTTTGTGCAACGGTCTGATTTAGACGTCTGACTATCTACTATATCTAAGCCCTGGTCAAAGTCTATCTTTGTGAAACCGGCCCCAGGGCTGCACGATATTGAAGAAAAATGCGATATGCGATACGATCATGCTTAAAGTGTGTAAAATAAACTTAAAATATCTTTAAAATGAAATAACCAACATGTATTTCACATTCTTTGTGTGACGAGAAAGCCTCCCTACAGCTTCTGACAGTGAACATCAGTGTTTTACTGTAGCAGAAGTGTTATTAACATCAGTGTTTTACTGTAGCAGAAGTGTTATTAACATCAGTGTTTTACTGTAGCAGAAGTGTTATTAACATCAGTGTAAAGCTCAGGGTTTCAGTTATCCTACATCAGGGTTATTTAACAACAGAAACTGAATAATCAAATGCACTGCTTAGTCTTTACTGTACGAATTAAATATATACTGATTCTTCTTAAAGCTGCAAAAGTTATTCAGCCGAGAGCAGCGAGTGATTTTCTCTGTCTCTTGTTCATGATCCAGTTATTGAAAGCTGTTGTGATATGCATATCGCGATATATACATTTGCGATAATTTTGATATATTGTGCAGCCCTAGCTTAAACTGAGTTGTACAAACATATAAATCGCACATAAGGCTTTTTATATCCCCTTTTGGATAACAAAATATTCTTTATGACTCAAATTTTGTAGTTAAATTGTGCTTTAAACGGCTTATAAAAGCAAGAGTAAAGCATGATTTTGATTATCTATTTATGAAGAATGTGGACAAGTTTGAAGAAATTTGGAGTGTAGAAAAATTGCTGTGTTGGGTTGATAATGATGAGTTGTTTTTTGCCGAGACTATGGC